CTCTCTCTCTCTCTCTCTCTCTCTCTCTCTCTCTCACACACACCACACACACACACACACACACACACCAACCAACAACTTCTGTAGACTTTGCCAGTGTCTCCTGAGGGATAGGTCACCCTGTGTGAGGACCACTGCTGACTGCATAGACTCAGAGTCCACAGAGGTCAGGAACCATGCTCTGTCAGAGTCGTGGGTGCAGAGAAAGGACAGAAGCCGCCGTCCCTCTGGGTCTCTTTCAGGTATGATCAAGCAGTTCCTCCGCGATGTGGACTGGGGGGAGATCGACTACCTCATCGTGGACACGCCGCCCGGGACGTCCGACGAGCACCTCTCAGTCGTCCAGTACCTCTCGGCGGCACACATTGATGGAGCTGTGATAGTGACCACCCCCCAGGTGAGCTGCTGAGACTTTCTCTCCCAGAGACTTCAGAGCAGGTGGCTTGTCAGCTGCTCTGCTTTGGGTCTACATAAACCTGTTGTTAAAAAGCGATCTTTGATCCAGGTGTTTGCTACTGACCAATCAGCTTGGTGGTTGTAGGAGTTGCTATGAGCGGTCTGACTCATAGCGAGCCCATGTAACAGAGTAAAACGGCCCCATTGGATTTTCTAGGCTGTCGCCTTTGTGAGAACAGATTACCAGGTTTTTCTCTTGTGGAACTGCCGTGTGGGTTTAAAGGTTAGCACTCAAGTGTTGAACCATTCTCTTGCCAATAGCTGTCCGTACATTAAACCCCTGTGGCCTTTTTGATTTCCCCTCACAAAGTCAGGGGCCGTTCATCCTTCTTAGCCTGGAAGTTCTCCTGAAAGCGTCCACTGATGGATGGTGGCTGGGCATGTGGGGTGCTGTCTGGGAAAGCAGTGAGGGATGGCGGCGATGGGGGGCTGGGGCCCACCTCTCCACCCACAGTAGGGTGTTAGGTAAGACTCTGGCAGCCCGAGGTACCCACTGTGGTCAGCGCTGGCCTATGCTGTAATCAACCAGGCCACCAGGATGGAATCTGCTAGACACTGGATACTGAGCCGGGGTCGTTCAGTGAGGGGCTGGCTCGTCATTATGCCTGGGGTCACCATGAGCCAGGGGTCATACTCAAAGGCAACTATGTGAGGAAAGATGGGTACAAAGCACTGCCTACATGCAGGCCTTAGACCGAAAAGCAGGTATTTCTGAGTATGAAAGTGGTTTCTAGGAGCCCTGGGGTTGCGGTGGCTAAGCCCTCAGCTGCTAACCAGAAGGTTGGTAGTCTGAAACCAGCAGCCGCTCCGCAGGAGTAAGGTGGGGCAGCCGGCTTCCACACAGATTCCAGCCCAGGAAACCCTTGGGGGGACTTCTGCTTGGTCCTGTGAGGTTGCTGTGAGTTGGAGGAGTACACAAGATAGCAGCGTGTTGGCTTGGGTTTTAAGATTCTTTGTGTTCATAGTACATTAGAACAGGGGTCGTTGGCAAGCCCTTTTTGTGACGGGCAGATAATCGGCACCATCGGATCTAGCCACTCTGCCATGGTAGCGTGAAAGCGGTCCATAAAGGAATGGGTGTGGCTATGCCTCACTAAAACTTTATTTACAAAAATAGATGGCCGGTCAGCTTTGGTCCCCAGGCCCCTTTTAACTGTGCCTAGTGTGTTCTAGTGCGTGGAAGTCTGTCCCTGAGAAAGCAGAACATCCAGTTATACTAGATGCCCTACATGTTTGATGTTTGACTATTTAACTTGATCCTTGTGGGTTTTCTGGGGACCAACAGCACCTACAATAGGCTAAGTACATATGCCCACCCACCCTGCCGTCGAGTGGGTCCCTTCAGGATAGCTGCCCCATAGGATCCCCAGGGCTGGCACCTTTATGGAAGCAGACGGCCACATCTTCATCCCACAGACTAACTTTCCAGCTGGGCACTTGGGTGCTGGTTGCTAGGGCCTCTTGTAAGCACAAAACAAACACAACCCCACAACTGCTGAGTCCACCCCAGCTCAGAGCGACCCTGGGTGGGGTTCCTAGTCTCTACTGGTGCAGACAGCCTATCTTTTTCCCACCAACCTTACAGTTCTGTCCAGTGCTAAACCTGCAGTACCAACAAGGCTCCTATTGAGCACATTGTTGTTGTTGTTGTTGTTGTTAAGTGCCATCGAGTTGGTTTCAACTCTTAGCAACCCTGTGGAGGGCTTCTGAGGAGCGGCTGGTGGGTTTGAACTGCCAGCTTTTCATTTAGCAGTGCAGTGCTTATCCTACAGCTACACCAGGCCTGCTTAGCATATGTCGTAGTTAAGTGCCATTGATTCGGTTCTAACTCATAGCAACCTTGTATAGGGTTTCCGAGGAGCAGCTGGTGAGCTTGAACCGCTGACCTTGCAGTTCAAACCAACCTTGCAGTCCAGCACATTAACTAGAACTTCTATAGCTTAGCGTATTTGTTGTTGTTGTTAAGTATTGTCGAGTCGATTCTGACACATAGCGATCCTGTATAGAGTTTCTGAGGAGCAGCTGGTGAGCTTGAACCTCCGACCTTGAAGTTCAAATGACTTTGCAGTCTGGCGCATTAACCCACAGCGCCAAACCAAGACTTAGCATATAGTGAGCACTAAATTAATGCTTATTGAATGAATAACCCAGCTCCAAGGTGTTGTTCCAAAGTCCCCTTGACCTCACACGCACACGCATACACACACATACTCACACACTCTGTGTCTTTACACCTTGGCATTGGAATAACCTGTTTTTTTCCAACCTTTAAAGGAAGTATCACTGCAGGATGTCCGCAAAGAAATCAGCTTCTGCCGCAAGGTGAAGCTGCCCATCATCGGGGTAGTGGAGAACATGAGCGGCTTCATCTGCCCTAAGTGTGAGGTGAGCTCCTAGCCAGGGTCCTCTGTGAATCCTTCCTGTCTTCCCCATCTGCTCCGGAAGTAGAACCCCAGTTCAAATCCTTACTGAAGATCCTTGGGCTGGGTGGTTGCTTCACATTCCAAAGAAGTCGTTGTTTTGAAGTCCCTGTAAAATGTGGTCCTGTCCCCTGATCCCTGACAGAAAGAATCACAGATTTTCCCTCCGACAACTGGAGGCGCCGAGCTCATGTGCCAGGCCCTGAAGATCCCCCTCCTTGGCAGAGTGCCTCTGGATCCACAAATAGGTGGGTGAGTCTCATGCCTGGTCCCACCCATTGCTGGGGTGGGGGGCCTTCTTCTCCCATCAGCCACCATGATCCGGCCAGGGGCCCGGCACAGAGGAGGCCAAGTAGGATGTTGGGCACAGACCACCCCGCTCCAGGAGCCAACGCTGCAGCTCACCTCCCTGCCAGGCTGTAGCCAAGGTTCCCCTGAGCTTGTGGACGCAGACACCAGGGGCCCAGGAGGCCTGGGTGGGGAGCCTGCCTCTCACATCCCTGTCTCCATGAGCACAGGGCAGGGACCACACTGCATGACACATGGTTCTAGTGAGGAACCAGCTTTCTCCCTGATGTTGTGAGGCGCACGTGAGTGGCCCTCAGGAGCCAGAGGGGGACCTACTAGTCCCGTCTCCATCTTACCCCAGGGCATAGATGCAGCGGTGGGGGGCGGGGGGCGGGGTCATTTCTCAGGACAGCAACGTTGAGCTTTTTCAGTTGTACATGCCTTCAACTTGACCCCTTCTATGGGCAGGTGGAAGGAGCTCTGGTAGCATAGTGGTTATGAATAGGGCTGTTAACCTCAAGGTTGGCAATTCAAAACCACCAGCCATTCCATAGGAGAAAGATGAGGCTTTCTGCTCCCGTAAAGATTTACAACCTCGGAAACCCTGTGCAGGGTCACTATGAGTCGGAACCGGCTTTATAGTACTTAACGACAACAACAATAGGGAGGTGGAATGTTCGGGGAGGTGCCCGGGTCTGCAAAGATTAGCAAGAGATGGCTGTCCAGCGGCTTTGCCTCTAAGCCTTGGGCTCTGACATCGTTTGCTAGGGAATGAGGAAGGCTGGGACTTCTGAGCCAGGCTCTGTGTGCTGAGGAGGCAGCTGGCAGGAAGGAGGTGGCAGTGTCTGAGCTGTGAGTTCAGGGCCTGACCAGGGCTGAGAGGAAGGGACACACACAGGAGGTAAAAGCTTTGATGGCCAGAGGGAGCCATGTCAAGAGGTCTCGTGTCCAGCACGAGTTACTAGAAAGAGGAACAGAAAATGCAGAAACCGCTGCATTCCATAGGGGTCAGCTGGGGGCGGTGGCAATGGGGGGTGAGAAAGCTGTGAGGCCTTGGTTTGTGTGGCAGACAGTACTTGGCATTGGAGGGCCACGCCGCCCCTCAAGGGGAGAGTGCATCCCTGTGGGGACTGTGTGGCCAGGACTGAGACTACAACTTGGAGCCAGCCTGCCTGGACGTGGAGAAAGGTGTGAGAATTGTCCCAGGAGGAGCCCTGGAGACCCTGGGCATGGGAGCTGTATCGCCTAAGGTCCCCCTGGATCTTAATTCAAGAATACTTCTCTGGTGTTTGGTTTTTCCCTACAAAATGCAGGAAAACCACAGCATTGTCTCAGCCTTGCCTCATGTGACAGATGCTCAGTCAGTGAGTAGGCCTGTTGCTGAGCCCCACAGGAAACCCAGGGGACAAAGGGGCCCTTACAAGACTGTCTTGTGGACCACAGGGCTTCCATGGTAGCCCAGCCTGGTCAGGGCCATCCCCACCCACCAGGGCCACCTGAGGTACAGAGGTCGAGCATAGCAGGGACAGTGTCACGCCGAGGGCATGTTTTAGCTCTCCCTCTGGAGAGCTCAGCTTCTGGGAGCAGGAGCAGAGCTGGCTAATGGCGGGCGGGATCTTCCTGGGATTGGAAGTTGGCAGAGCAGCCAGGAGAGAAAACACCTGGGGAAGTTCTCAAGCCCTGCTGTGTGCTCCCCCGGGCTGCTGCACCCTGGAACACGTAACTGCAATGCAGCCTGGAGAAACACTAACAGACTACAGGTGCCCATGTGCAGCCACCTTCTGGATGCAGCTGCATGTCAGAGAAGCAGGGGGCTGGGCGCTGCAGCCTAGGTAGTTTGGGGAGTTGTGTTTGGGATCTAAGATACAACTATTAGTCTCTATGTATGCAGAGCAGACGAGAACAAAGAAAACTCAAAGCAGAAATAAGTTTACAGGACAAGATAGTCTACATGGACTGCGGTCTCCTTACCCTGAGACCAGAACTCGATGGTGCCCAGCGGCCACTACTGTCCAGTCATCAGGGCCACAATAGATGGGTCCTGATAGAATGGGAGAAAAATGTAGACTAGAATCTCAAATTTCTAAACACACACACAAACAAGAGAGAGCTGTGGTGGAGACTAGAAAATTGTTCTGAGATATTCTTCAAACTGAACCAAAGCCAACCCCTGAAATAATGAGGGTCACTCTCAGTGATGTGCTCCTTTAAAAATCACCTAGAGAAGACCAACTCGGCGGTACTTAGCGACATGAAAGACCACCTCTCAACAGTGCTTTAGAACGAAGGTGAGAGTCTCGGGGGGCAGGGCAACTCGATGGATGGAAGCAGAGTAAGCAGTGCAGACCCACGAATCGTCCACACCCTGGGAAGAATGGCACTGAACAACTTTTGTAGACCCTTGTTGAATGGGAACCTAAACTGTGTAAACCAAAAACAGTAAAATATTTTTAAGAAAGCAATGAGCAGAACACCTGTATGTTGCCATATGATTATATATACATGTATGATTTCTGGAAAGATGCCCAAAGCATGGGTAGGCTCTTGTGAATTTCTTTTTGTGTAAATCCTTTGTCTGCCCTTTGATGCCGTGCACATTTGTGATCTTTTAATTAAAAGAATGAGTTCTAAAATGCAAGTTCCTGGGCCTACCTGGGAGCTACCAAGTCAGTTCTTCATGGGGCCCTAGAACCTGTATTGGCCCCACACCACCCTGATGGCTCACGGGCCCAAGTGTGGCTCGGTGCCCGTTGAAGTGCTTTACACACAGGCGCCCAGCTGAGGGGAAGGGGCTGGCTGGGTCTCTTTGACTTCCCATATGTAACACTGGGCTGGGCCCCAAGGTCACAGTGCACTGTTTTCTTCGATCATGGATTTAATAGTCTTCATATGTTTCTTTAAGGGAAGAGTTGTGACAAAGGACAGTCTTTTATGACGGAAGCCCCGAACTCGCCAGCCACGCTAGCCTACAGAAGTATAATCCAAAGTAAGTGCCTGAGGGTGGCCTGGAACCTCTGCAGCCATTCGGGGCCCATTTAGGATGACAGTTGGTCACTGCCACACAGCGTCAGGTGGGGACAGCAGTAGTGGTGGGGACTGGAGTGATAATGGGGTGTGGCCCCCTCAACATTGTGGTGGACTCCAGTCTGAGAAATCATGGATCATTGCCGAGTGTCATAAGTGAATCCAAAGCTAGAAAACATGGTGGCTGTGAGTTTCATGGTATGGGAACTCACAATCAAGCTGAAAAATAACAGGATTAGCAAAACACCACATTCAGGTCCCGATTCTGCCAATGGGCAGATGTGGAAGGTCTCAGGTTCCAGGTGGGTATCAGGTGGCCAGCTCCTATGGGTCTGGTAAAATGGTGTCGAGGATAAAGTAGCAGGCTCCCAGGAGTCTTGGTGTGCTGGATGGGCTGATGGCCAGCGGGTATGTGGTATCAAGTTCCTGCTGAAGATTCTGGGAGTGAGGCCCAGGCAGGATACTGCTCTTCTGGCGAAGGAGTGGTCACCATGAGGACTGAATAGTCCCCTTCCTCCCCAGGAATTCAAGTGTTTTGTAGTCCGCACCCTTCACACCAGGAGGAGCTCGTCGGCTCCTGAAACTTGGGACATGTGAAGGACGCGCGTGGCTGACAGCATTGCCGGGGCCGAGCAGGGGTCATGGGGTAATAGGGACCAGGCACAGGCGACACTTGAACTCACTGCCTCAGAGACACTTTAATCATCCAAGCTCTGTACCCTTCCCCTCAGTATATGTTAAGACAAATGTGCATTTTAAAAATAAAAATTTCTCCTACTCCCAGACTTATCTGGGACTTCCTTTATGTGTAAAACACGCGGCATATAGGATCACAGAATCTTCTTTGATGGAAGCATATCCGTCTAGAGCCTCTTCACTGAAGCCATGTCTGCCTCTGAAGGTCACATCAACCTGAACAAGAGCCCAAGTGTTATTCATTCCAAATCCACAGTCACCTTTTCAAAGCCACACCCGCTGCTGTCAGGGTGAGTCTGACTCAGAGCCACCCTATAGGGCAGAGGAGAAGTGCTCCCCAGGCCTTCCCTGACTAGAAAGCCTCGTCTTCCTCCCGCAGAGCAGCTGGTGGGATTGCACCACCAACCTTGGTGCTTAGTAACGTATTGCGTAACCCACACTACCACCAAGCAGCATAGGCCAAATAGCTACTCTTCAAATTCAGCAAAAGTTTAAATGGCGAGAGAGCCTGTGCTAGGGTTGGCTCCAAGGTCAGGGCATACGGTGAAGTGAAGTGTCGTCAAAGTAGCCCTGTACTGCCCTCAGACCGCGCGTACAGGACGGCCTAGTGCTGGGTTTACACCCTGCACAGTCAGGCACGCATACTGGATCCCTTAATTGCCTGTAGGGTAAGCACTGGACCGCTGACCAAAAGGTTGTTGATTCAAACCCACCAGCCGCACCTTGGAAGCCCTACACAGGGTCGCTGTGAGTCGGAACTGACTCGACGGCACTTAACAAGCGCAACACCTGCAGAGAGGAAAGGCAGACAGAAGCCCTAGAACCAGCCTTACCATGGTGAGCCACAGAAGTGGAAGGATGAGAACCCCCCTGCACTCCCCCTCCCTTTCTGCTCTTTGTGCCTGTCCCCTGGGACCAGACTGACACAAGTTCGTTGTGAGGAGGGCGGGGTGACGTTGACGGTGACGAGGCTGCAGAGCTCAGGGTGAGGTGTGGGCTCAGGTAGGCCCTGGCCTGGCTGTGACTTCCGCCACCTTGGGGAACTGGCAGAGACCACTCCCAGACCACCAGCTCCCAAGATCCCCTCCTCACCTAATGCCGGTGGATCTCCAGCCCCTCCAGGTCAGGTTTCTGGAAGTCACTTGGGCAGGCCTGCAAGGGGAAATGTCGCCCATGTGCTGGTGCTGACCAGTCTTGGGCAGGTCTGTGGTGACCTGCCGGCCTGCAGAACTGGTCACTGAGGTCCCTGAGCTAGGATCGCACTGACCCACTTTAGGACGAGCCTGGCCCCAAATTCAGAGACTCATTCCTCATTCTAAGGGTGCCCATGGTGGGAAACGTAAACCAGAAACCTTGTGGATGTTCTCCTTAAGCTGGTCATTTAGAGAAATCTCTTAAAATGGACAATGGCAGCCTGTCTGGTGTGGTCTGATGGGGAGGGATCCAGGAGTACCCACCGTCAGGAACATCGTCTGGGACAGAAAGCTGGATGTGACTTTGCTGATGTCACTCTCGCTGCCCATCTTACAAAGGACGTAGCCATACAGATTAGCTGCTTGGAGAGAAATCCCAGCGATCACAAGGGCCTGTGTTCAGACAGAGCATAGACCGTGTCTCGTAAGAACAAATGCTGAAATGCCCCTCCCAAGGCAAGCCGAAGGGGCTGTGGTCAGTACCTACCAGTGGTCACCACAGATGAGCACCCACAGTTACATGCGGACTCCCTCTTCCTCGGTGGGTACCATCGCCATCCCATTGTGCAGGGAGAAAAGTGAAGCCCAGAGAAACTAAAACTGCCTAAGGACACAGAGCGGACTCGAGCTACAGTCCAGATGCAAACCCCAGAGCCCACACTTCCAATGAAACGACTGTGTCCAATGTCTACATGTACTCTTGTTTTCACTTTCAGTGAGCCCTCCTCTGGCAGAGCTATACCATACCTCCAAAATAAAGTCTTCAGGACTATGGTGGTGGTGGTGATGTGCTGTGGAGTTGGTTCCAACTCATAGCGACCCTGTACAGGGTATCCTAGGCTGTAAATCTTTACGGGAGCAGAAAGCCTCATCTTTCTCTCACAGAACAGCTGGTAGTTTCGAACTGCTGACCTTGAGGTTAGCAGCCCGATTTGTAACCTCTACGCTACCAGAGCTCCTTCAGGACTGTGAGGAGGGCTTGTTTATACTTAGCTCTTCCTACCCACGACAGAATGTCTTGTGATGTTTTAAAAACTCCTTTCACAATAGTGTTACTCACAGTAGCCAAAAGGAGGAAGCAACCCAGGTGTCCATGAACTGATTGGGGGTAAATGTGTGTCCACTCAATCATTAAAAGAAACCAAGTATCAATACATGTTACAGTGTGGGTGAACATTATGCTCAGTGAAGGAAGCTCACGAAAGAGTGCATATACTGTATGAATGTCCAAATCGACAGACAGGAAATAGATTCGTGGTTGTCGTGGGCTGGGAAGGGAGGGATGGGATGAGGTTGCTAATGGGTAGAGAGTTTCTTTTGGGAGTGATGAAACTATTCTAAAACGGATGCTGTGATGGCTGTACACCTCAGGCTGGACTGAAAATCGTAGAACTGTGTACTTTGTATGTAAACTCTGCACTTTGTATGTGAACTGTATGTGAACTCTGCACTTTGTGAATTGTATGTGACCTGTGCACTTTGTACGTGAATTGTTTGTGAACTGTGTACTTTGTAGGTGAGTTGGGGTCTCAAAGCTGTTAGGTAGAGGTAGGGAGGGAACGATGACGACAGACATTCCACTCCTGCTGCCGCTGGTTTCAGAGAGCTGTGAAAGCAATGTCTAAATCACGGTGTTGCCATTTGCATCAAAGCTGTATTGAACAATCTTTTTTTTTTCTCTTTCAAACTCACATTTGTGGGATATGAAAATATGTATGTTTCACTCTTCCTGTCTTACCTATTCAGCCTGTATGTCAATCTATACATCTACACACAGAGCACTGTTGCTCCACGGTTGTGTCTAGATCAGTATTTGCCTCTGTCCCCTGTAGCCCAGGCACACCTCCCTGGGTCTCTACCTGCCTTCATCATTCTTCTGCCACCCTCCCTCTTCTTCTATATTGCTCTCCCCATCACCGAACTAACATGTAGTCTACCCTCTAGCCAGTGAATTACTCTCCCCTCCCTCCTACCCCTGGTAACCTTCAAAGACTGTTTCTTTTAGTACGGAAATCTTTGCTTAAACTTTTACAATAATGGTCTCATACAGTATTTGTCCTTTTGTGGTTGATTTAATTTCACTCAGCATAATGTCCTCAAGGTTCACCCAAGTTATGAGGTGTTTTGCAGCTTCATTGTTATTAGAAGACTCTTGATCAAAAGGGGGGGAAATCCTGAACAATTTTAAATGCTCATGGAATCCTGACTTTCTGGAGCTTTGGAAGCTGGATGAAACCCTAAAACTGTTGCCCTAATATCATCTTAAGCCAAAAGTATCCCCCAGTGTAGTTTAGCTTAACTTACAGTATGCCATGTCTGCCTTGAGCATTGTGGTCATTGAAGATGTAGCTTAATGGGATCAAAGTGACAACAGTAACTCGAAAGATTAGCTAGGGAACCAAGGAGGCAGTGAATTTATGGGAATCACGAAGGACCAGCTTGGAAAAGGAGGGTGCCAATGGTTGCCCAAGTTGAACAATTAATGTCACTGAATTTTTACATGGAGACATGTTACACTGTGGTCTCTTCTCAACAACAACAAAAATAAAAGTCAAGGTGTTGTCTTACCAGCCACTTGAGCTTCAAGGAAAATAAGGTGCTAAAAAAGAACACAATCCAAATCATGGGGCAGATGATAAGACCGAGCCAGAAGATGCGCGCTTCGGCTTCTGTGGCAGCGATGTTGCTGGACGAGACCTGTGGTGGGAGAGGATCTAATGGTCAGTACTAACGAGGGGGCTTTCCAAGCAGTATGCTGTCATCTGCGTTTTCATGTGTCTGCTGCAGGAGCGCCCCCACAGAATGCCATCAGTGTGTGTGTGTGTGTGTGTGTGTGGAACCCACAGAAGCAGCCCACAACCAATTCTCGGTTCTAGTTGGTGCGACGCTTGGGGGGAAATACCTTTCTGGCTCCAAATATCCAGTGGCTTTTCCCATCTTCATCAATCTGGTTCCACCATCGGAGGCCCACCATGAGCCTTCCAGTTACATTCTGAGGAAAACAGATACAACGCTGGCACTACGGGCATGCCACTGTAGAGCGTCAACATCAGCCTGGATTCACATCAAACCCAGCAAAGCATGGTGAACTTGGAAGAGGATCAGGAAGCAGAGGGGGTGTGAGCAGGGGTGGTTTCCCAAAATTGGTTTGCGAGGCTTCCGAATTTCAGTTATACTTACCTTAAAAGGCCAGCGACTCCCCAGATTTTATTTACATACATAAATCAAACCAGCTGCAGCTGAGTCCATCCTGACTCATCAGGACCCCCCCCCCCCCCCAGCATCAGTGTAGAACTGCGCTCACTGGGGCTTTCAAGGCCTTGCTGTCATGGGTGCCCTTCCACTAGTAACTGGAGCACTTAGCCATTTGTGCCACCCAGCGGTGAATGCAGCTATATGAGGGGCTTCCAAAAGGTCATGGAAACATTCCATTCTCTTTTAATTCCACCTTTCCACAAACTTTTGAAGCCCCCTATATATGTATAAGAAGCTCTGGTAGTGTAGTGGTTACGAATCAGGCTGCAAACCACAAGGTCAGCAGTTTGAAACTACCAGCTGCTCCGCAGGGAAAAGATGAGGCTTTCTGCTCCCGTAAAGATTTACAGCCTCGGAAACCCTGTTCAGGGTCACTATGAGTCAGAACTGACTTAATGGCACTTAACAACATATATGTATATGTATATATACGTTGTCCTGGTGTGGCGCTGTGGGTTAATGTGCTGAACTTCAAAGTCGGTTTGAACCGCAAGGTTAGCAGTTCAAGCTCACTAGCTGCTCACTAGTTTCCTGTATAGGAAACTATACAGGATCGCTATAGGTCAGAACTGACTTGGCGTCACTCAACAACAACATGTATGTATATATACATATATACTGCAGTGTCCCTCAGAGTCTGGGGGGATTGGCTCTAGGACCCCTGTGAATACCAAAAACAAGGATTCTCTAGTCCCTCGTATAAAAGGATGTATGCAGTCCTGGTGTGGCGCTGTGGGTTAATGCACTGGTCTGAAACGTCAGTCTGAACCACAAGCTCAGTGGTTCAAGCTCACTAGCCGCTCTTCAGAAACCTTATGTAGGGTCGCTATGCATCGTAAACGACTCCACAGCACTTAACAACAATAGTCTTGACATATGATCATGTCTGCTATCCTTCTACACTTTAAATCATCTCTAGATTGTTTAGAATTCCTGACCCAATGTAAGTAAATGCGATGTAAATAACTCTTTGAGCTCTTTAAGCCTTTGGGGGCTTGCTGTGATCATTTCATTGCTTTCCCTTCCCCCTTGAATATTTTCTATCCACAGTTGAATCCACAGATGCGGAACACACAGATGCAGAGGATCAGCTGTATATATGTGTGTGTATATATAATGTATAAGGAGCCCTAGAGCGTCGTGGTTACGAATCAGGCTGCTAACCTCAAGGTTGGCAGTTTGAAACTACCAGCTGTTCCGCAGGAGAACAATGAGGCTTTCTGCTCCCGTAAAGATTTACAGCTTCAGAAACCTTGTGCAGGGTCACTATGCGTCGGAACCGACTCCACGGTACTTAACAGCAGCATAGTGTATATGTCACTATGTTATTGTGTGGAGTCCTGGCATGGTACTGTAGGATAAGCACTTGACCACAAGTTTGGTTTGAACTGCAAGGTTGGCGGTTCAAACTCACCAGCTGCTCCTCGGAAACCCTATACAGGGTCGCTATGGGTTAGAACCGTCTTGACAACACTTAACAACAACAACAATGTTATTGTGTAGCCTGGTGTGGCATGATAGGATAAGCACTGGACTACTAACCACAAAGTTAGCAGTTCAAACCCACGAGCCACTCCTTGGAAACCCTATTTAGGGTTGCTATGAGTTGGAACCAACTATATGGCCCTAACAACAACAATGTTATTGTACTGGTTTGGTGTTGCTGGATCAGCACTGGACTGTTGACTATAAAGTCGGTGGTTCAAACCCACCAGCTGCTCCTCAGAAACCCTATACAGGGTTGCTATGAGTTGGAACTGACTTGATGGCAGAAACATACACAACAACAACAACATATATTTAAAATAAACCGTATATGTAAGTTTCAACAAAAAACCCAAAGCCCTATGGAGTTGTCACCATGTCAGTTGATGCCCCCAAACCATTGATTTAACACTAAGCAATGTAGTTTTGTACTAATTTTATTAGGCATCAATTGAAAATCCTCAAATATGTCTCAGCAATCTGAACCAAAGTACTCCTGGGTCCAAACTCATTTGTTCTGTTAACAGTTCAGGTTTTGTGTCAGTGTGACTGGGTCAGGATTCCACAGTGGTTTGGCTGTGGAGCTGTAGTTATCCCCATGGTGAAACCTGATATAGGTATACTTAACTTTATGATGATTGGCTATGAGCAGCCAATCAATTGAAAGGTTATTTCCTTGGAGGTGTGGCCTGCTCCCAATATAATGGATACACAGGAACGTCTCACTCTCTTTTCTGCTGGATCTGGATCCCGAATCTGGGTTGCCTTCCTACCTGCTGGGCCCACTTGCCAAGCTTGGTTCACCTGGCTAGGACTCGGGATCCCTGTCTGTCTGTCTGTCTGTCTGCTTGTTGGCCCTGCCTGCTGATCTTCACTCAGCTTACACTTGGGACTCTCCCACCCTATTGTGAGCCATTTCCTTGATAAAAACTTCTCTTTCTGTATATACATCTGTAAGTTTCACTGGTTTTGCTTCTCGGAAGAACCCAGCTTCAGACACCTTCCTTCAAGCCAGAGACAGACTGGTAGCACCCTCTAAACGCAAGCCTGTTTCAGGAGCGATGGCACCTCGTGTGAGAAGGGGGCCTTACCTTCACAGACCAGAAGTCCAAGGACAGGAGGAGCAGCACAGTGACAAAGCAGCCCACAAAGCTTTTGCTGAACCAGTCACAACATATGTAGGTGACGATGGCACTGACTCGGAAGAACAGGTGGAAAAAGGTGGCCAAGGGGTGCCTGGGAAACAGTTCAGAAGACCCCTCACTCCAGAAGCCAAAACCAGCAGCCACAGCACTGCCCCGCCACCGCAGCCCACCTGTCGCACAGACTGGTCAGGCCGGAGCAGTGTTCTCCCCAGCATACGCCAAGCCAGACACCCCCAGGCTTCAGCGCTGAGGAAGCAGCACGAATCGGTGGCAGTTTTTGAACCTGAGCGTCTTCATCATACTAGTCATTTTTTCCCTATCCCTCAAAAGAATCCAGTACTTTCCACTAACTGGATTCCAAATACCACTTGCCCTCGCTGGAAACGCTGTCACCTTTAAAGTAAAAGGTGACAGAATCACTGCCTAGCTACCGACCAGTTCCCTAAAGATAAAGGCTGGGCCAGCCCGCTACTGAGTAAGCAGAGTCCCGTGCTGTCCCTGGGTGCTGAGGTCCCGTGTCATTCTGGATGGAGAGAAATTACTAGTGATGGAGTAAGTGCCAGCTCCGGGCACAGAAGTTCACCCTGGGGAACGTAGACCTGCTCCAACCAACTGCTTAAAAATGTGTCTGGGAGCCCAGACACATTTTTAAGCATAAACCAAGAACAATTTGTCTAGATCAAAGCCGCTGCATTGAACTTGGTTCGGACTCACAGTGACCCTACAGGACCACACAGCTGCCCCATCTTGACGAGAGCAGACAGCCTCATCTTTCTCCCTCAGAGTGACTTGTGGGTTTGAACCACCAACTTTATGATTAGCAGCCCAATGTTTAACCCACAGTGCCATCAGGGCTCCTTAATTGTCCACAGCAGATACCAAATGCCTATAGAGGACATTCAGGCAGTGGCAGTGGGTGGCATGGACCAGGTATCCCATTTCTGATCGAATACAGTAGAGGAACACAACTCCTAGCAAGGAAGCAACCACAGGTGGCAAACCTCACTGGTGGTAACCTCATCCTGGGGAGGAGACTTCTATTCAGAACCAGACAGTGCCAACACATACCCAGAGCTGCTATTTGCACAACAAACTAGCACTCCAGACAGAAATGAGAAATCTGATTTTAAAGGGTGACAGTTAACAACTGTTTTAACAAGATGTTGCAGGCTGGGTTTTACACTGGCCCTGGGACCCCCAGCCTGCAATCTCCAAGTTAGAGTTGTAACACACTGTGGGCGTGTTACATGAGATGGGGTGGGGCTATGGGAGAGGGAGACAGCAGAGCTGTAGAGGAGAAATGAACCTGCCTGTCCTTCCAAATGGATGGGATCCCAGTTAACACAGTATGAAAACCAAACTTCCAAAGCAGTTACCGAGTCAGCTCTGACTCATAGCGTCCTTACACATATAGAGTAGAATTGTGCTTCACAGTTTTTTCAGTGGATGGTTTTCCATAAGTAGATCCCACTCATGGTGTCCTGTGTATGTCAGCGTAGAACTGTGCTCCACAGGGTTCTCAGTGGATAATTTTTCATAAGTAGATTTCACTCATGGTTTCCTGTGTGTGTCAGCGTAGAACTGTGCTCCACAGGGGTCTCAGTGATTTTTCACAAGTAGATTCCAATCATGGCGCCCCCATGTGTGTCAGAGTAGAACTGTGCCCCACAGGGTTTTCAGTGGATGATTTTCATAAGTAGATTCCACTCATGGTGCCCCACATGTGTATCAGAGTAGAACTGAGCTCCACAGCGTTTTCAGTGGGTGATTTTCATGTAGATTCCACTCATGGTGCCCCCATGTGTGTAAGAGGAGAACTACACTCCACAGGGTTCTAAGTGGGTGCTTTTTATAAGCAGATTCCATTCATGGTCCCTTCATGTGTGTCAGAGTAGAACTGTATTCCCAAAGTTCTCAGTGGATTATGTTTCGTAAATAGATTGCTAGACCTTTATTCCATACTTCCTCTAGGTGGACTCAAACCACCAGTCTTATGTTAGCCACTGGCTTTATTAACCATTTGCACCACTCAGGGATTCCTATAAAACAATGAGCTTCTGGTGACGTTTCCACATTTACTCATGATGTTGCCAAAGAAAGAAAAGGGATTGTCCAAACACCAGCCATTTGCTAGAGCAGTTCTCTCACCTGTGCCTTCTATAGACATGCCTGGAAAGAAAGGCAGACACGGATGCATGCCCAGTGCTTAAGGACTAGACATGATCATGTAAAATTTCACAACCTGGACTGTTCCAGAAGATGGGACTAGGGCCAATGGAGAGTCCCGCTGAATACCCTTTGTATCTTAAACCGATTGACAATCTTTGGACGTCGCACCTTCACCCTGGAGGTAAACGGATCCTCTTCCAATGACCGGAAGCTCTAAGGAAGAACCCATGTGTTGGAAATATTGGTATCCTGGATGCTGCATGTGCTGTGGGGTTGATTTTAACTCACAGTGACCCTGTCATTCAGAGTAGAACTACCCCCAGAGGGTTTTCTAGGCTGTCATCTTTCAGGGAGCAGATCACCAAGTCTTTCCTTCTGTGGAGCCACTGGTTGGGTTTGAACCACCGATCTTTTGGTTAGCAGCTGAGCCTTTCACCATGGCACCAAAAGGAATTTTTATGTCCTGGATGTCAGGGTTATTGTGGTGTGTTCTTGAGATGATTCCGACTCAGAGCAACCCGTAGGACTGGATAGAACCGCTCCCTGGGGTTTCCAAGGCTAGAACCCTTTACAGAAGCAGACTGCCGTATCTTTCTCCAGGTCACTGATAGGTTCAAACTGCTGACCTTTCAGTTAGCAGTGACAGAGTTAACGATTGTACTACCTGGGCTCCTCCTACCCAGTCATGCTGGCATTTAAGATTCAGTGACTTTCTTGAGCCGACCCTCATGATCAGGACAGTTAGGGTCACTGGGAACAGCGTATTCTTTGTAAAAGAACATAGATCGAAAAGGTCTAGAGAGAGGCTCAGTTGTACTCTGAGCCTCAAGGTAGAACCCGGAAGTTCATCTGTTCACATGAATCCCTTACCTACCCACCGTTTTTTCTCCTGTGGTTATCCTGAAATGAATTGCCAAAAAATTCCCATTATTAGAGGATTCCCCTTAGCTGGATTCTGGTTAGCGCTGTTTCCTTTTTTTTTTTTTTTTTTTTACCAGTTGCCATCCAGTTGATTCTGACTCCTCACAACCCCATGTGTGCTCCATGGCAGTTTCAGTGGCTGATCATTTTGGAAGAATAACCAGACTTTTCTTCCGGAGGCTAGAGGCATCTCAATCAGCAGCCGAACTCAGTAACCATTTACACCCAAACCAAAATAGCCACTGCTCTCAAGTCTATTTCAACTCAGAGCAGCCCTCTCTAGAAGGGTTTCTGAGGCTGGAAATCTTCATGGGAACAGACAGCTTCATCATCCTCCCTCAGAGCAGCTGGTGGGTTTGACCTGACGACCTTGTGACCCAGTGCCTAACCCACAGCTCAGGGATAAATAGGAAATATTATTACTCAAACAAAGCCCAAAGCAAGTAGAGTGTTGCTGTTGTTAAGTGGTGTTGAGTTGGTTCTTGCATAGGGTTCCTGAGGAGCAGCTGGTGGGTTTGAACTGCCGATCTTCTGGTTTCCAGTCCAGTGCTTGTGAAGAGGCTACCCACTGCACTGTAAAAGACTGCTGTATTCCTACTGGATGCGTGTTTGCAAGGCGCTGTCGACATCCCCTCCATTCTGTCCACATATAGGATTGGCCGTGCCTGTGCCCCCATTTAAGGAGCTCTGGTATCGTAGTGGTTACAAGTCGGGTTACTAATCTGATGGTCAGCAGTTCAAAACTTCCAGCGGTTCCACTGCAGAAAGATGAGGCTTTCTGTTCCGTAAAGTCTTACAGCCTTGGAAACCCTGTACAGGGTCTCAATGAGTCAAAAACCGACTCCACGCCCACTACGCGCCCCCCACCACCATGCCCCTAGTTAATACTTACGTGGCCTCAGATCAGTTTTCTAGTTTGGGAAGTTTGAAGACCATGGTTAAGCCCCAGCCACCTGCTCCGGGGTCTCTGTGTTCTCTCTGTATGCCCACCCAAACCCACTGAGAACCACTTCCCTTCCCACTACCACTGGCTTTCAGGGGCCCCCTGGCTGCTCTTCGAGGGACCAAACAGTACAGTGGTTCCAAGCCAGGGTGGGCGAGAGCTCATGTGCCAGGTTTCAAATCCTGGCTCCAACCTCTGAGTAGGTCCATGGCTGTCCCCAAGTTACATAATGCCTCCGTGCCTCCATTTCCTCTTGTGTGAAATGAGAAGGGCACCAGTAGCCACTAGGCAGGGATGTGAACAGGCCGAGTGCAGGCCACATGGACACATCACAGAAAGTGCTCAAGTACAACTGGTGCTCCACCGTCCGGAGCAGCTGTGATGATCTCAGATCCCCCCTCCCCCAGACACTCAAACCAGCTCCACCTCCAAGAAGCCACCCTGGAAACCCCCCCCTCTGACCACAACTTTCTATGGCTCACACCCGAGGGGCCCACGTTTCTTTATCTTTATGGGGATCCCCTGTAATGTCTGATCCCTCACTTTCACCATGAACCGTCTTCATTCATAGCCAGGGGAGTGCTCTCCCATCAGCATGCCCCTCTCCTGCCAGGTAGGGCTGTTAGGATTCATGGACACCCATGTTGAAGGAAGAATGAAATGAGTGGATTCCACGGCCAATAAGGTGGGGAAAATCTTGATGGGCTCTTTTTCTGTCCCCGCTATTTGTAAGTTCACTGGCTGGGCTCTGGACCCCTGGATCCTTGTCTCCTCCTTTGGATGTAAGCACACAGCAGGCTCTGTACCCAAAATGCGCATGAAAACCACCCTCAGAAGTTTCAGAGGCATCAAAATGTGCACATGGCTAGTCCTGCCTCAGGACCCAACGGATCTGGGGTGGGGCCTGGGCATGAATTGTATACCATATTGGCATGGGGCAGCAGAGGACCAGAGGACCACACAGGAAACCTGGGTTTGATAGCTGGCTAGTATACCTCATGTGTGATGCTGTATGATCAGCACTGGATTGCAAGGTCAGCAGTTCAAACTCACCAGCT